AAAATTTTAGATTCGTAATCTTGTAAAAAAAAAAAATCGAGTCGGCTTGATTTTGCTCGAGCTGAGCTCGAGCCTCGAGTTTCGGCTCACGAGCCGGCTCGTTGACATCCCTACCTCTTCGTCTAACAAAAAGGGCCCAATTAGAATTATTTTTGCTTTGGGGTCCATAATTCTTCCATGCAATGCAAGTTAATCCTCGAGACAATTTTATTTGTGTGGTCAATGTCCTTCTCAACTTCAACTTGTGAAATTTAATCCCAAATCATAAATTTTAATCGATTAAGTTCTTCTTCCTTTCCACTTGCTTCGAACGGGTTCGTCGCTAAAATCAAAATAAAAATTAACCCAAGTTAAATAGAAATTAATAAATTGATGACATATAAACTTAATAATGCGGCCTAAATAAATGCACAAATTGCACTTATCACGTTCCTCAACTCCTGTGAAAATGGAAGGCTGTCATCATCGTCGTCCAGCTCGTATGACCTGCATGGACCTTTTGAGTCTTCTCCCTCAGCTTGATACTGAGGTGGTTGGGATGTTCCCGCCTGGTCTAGTAAATTCGTTGCATCCCTTATTTCTCTTATATTTCTAAGCGGTCGAACCTCTTGAGTTCCTTGCCGTCCATCATATTCATGTTGCCTCAGAATGGGGTAGATTGTTGTGGCCAGTTACCTCCGACTTTGGTTGGGGCAAACTTGAGGTCACGTCCATGACTACTTCTCTCTCGACTAGGCTCAGACTTCTTGCTTGCTCATGCGGATAGGTTCCCGCGTGATTTTCTTGATGGAAGGCCTTTTGCTGAGTGCTCTGATACCTCCATGGCCTTGCATTTGCACGAGTAGTTGTTGCAAAATAGTGTTCTGCTGAGTAATGTCCTCATATTTACGGCCATTTTCCCGACTTCTTTCGACAAACGAGCAGTGGCTACACCTCTTCGATGTGTATGGTAGGGGTGACGAGTAGTAATGTTTGCTCAAAGAACCTCTTCTCCAGAGGCCTCGTGCTAGTGGTTTCTGCTTTGAGAGCCATAATGACTACAACTTATGGTATATCACCAATCCTTGGATTGAGTTCTCAGTCAGTACTTTTTGATAGTCGAATCTTTCTCCAAGGTATTGCAGCTGTACAATATCCTCACCAATGGCTTTCACCACTTGGAAGTTCGTGGTTGAGATGTGTGGTTTCCCACAAACGGCGTCAATCTGTTGACCTCAAAAAATGTACCTCTAATGTGGCCAATAGATCCTAAGACCTCTCACGTCCAGATAAACCGTATTCCTACACACTAGGACAAATCATTAGTTACAGGTAGCATTTTCTAGTAAGGGTGGATCCGACTGCGCGCACTCCGACGATCAAGTTAGTTTTGGAAAGAAATGTACGAGTATGGAAGGGCTTTTAACGTGAGCTTCCAATTTAAAAAAGGGTTGGTATTGGGAGTAAAGTAGAAAATATAGAGAGCAAAGTTATAGTATCAAAGTCTAAATTTGCATTACCCTTGAATGACACTAAGTGTGAGCTTTTATAGTGTGGGATAGTGAATATAGACCGTCAGATGAGAGGACACGTGGGCATAACCTCTTAGGTTTAACTTCCCATCATCGATATCAATCAATCACAGTGTATTAATGCTAATGCCAACTTTCCTTCTATAAATTAAAGCTTGCGGTAGTAGTCTTGACCAAATAGGTTGGCTATGGCGACAGTGGCAGGGAGTTGTCATGTCAATCACATAAGTAGATCTGATTCGGAGGTTGTTCGACCAAAGAGCTTCGTGTCCCTTCCTTGAGGGGGTTTGGTGTTATCGGTTTAGTTATACATGGGCTGGGTACATGTCAAGGGTTCGACAGATAGTTTGTCCACGTGGGCTTACCTCATCCACATCGGCTTGCTAAGTGGGATCCAGGTAGGGCCTTCGTTAGAGAATGTATAACAGTTAGTATCATTTGGATTCATGTATCACCAAAGTGCAATCCAAAATGCAAAATTCCAATTGTGGTAATTGGCTAAGATTATTTCCCGCACTTTGAAGATCACATACTATATTTCTGTGCAAAAATCATTCTTAACAAAACTTTATATTGTTGGAAAAAATGGGTGATTTGTGTATAGATATTTATCATAATACAAAACATAACATTAAAATATAATTCAACTATAATCATAAACATAAAAGTTCAACAAAAACATGAACATAAATTATAAGTAGAGAGTTATAAAAACAAGTTTTAGAGAGTCACGTCAAGAATGATGTCCTAAAATTGTGTCGTCTTTCCTTTGTGCGGGTACTTTCGACACTTAAACATAACATTAAAATATAATTCAACTATAATCATAAACATAAAAGTTCAACAAAAAACATGAACATAAATTATAAGTAGAGAGTTAGAAAAACAAGTTTTAGAGTCACGTCAAGAATGATGTCCTAAAATTGTGTCGTCTTTCCTTCGTGCGGGTACTTTCGACACTACACGGTTCAAAAATAAAACCCATGTGGCTTATAGTTGATTCTCCTTCTATGGATATGATCATAAGTAGATAAAGAACAAGTCTTTCATCAAATTGCTAAAACTATATAAATATAAATATAATACGTTACATGGAAATTCATTTTTCAAATTGTGTTTTCATATTGTATTAACAATGAAATATTCACTCCTTTTTATATTGTAAAATTAACCCCACTATCGATCGATTTAAAAGATAAGTTACACTCCAACAGTAAGAGAGTGTATTTGATTGAGGCTTTCAAAGATTTTTGGAGATTTAAAAAGTTTAGGTGTATTCAATTGAAACTGAATCTTTAAAGCTTGGCGAATTTAATAGAGACTTTTAAAAAGTCTTTACAAGTCACGGAGTATTTAATTAAAACTTTTTAGAAATCTCTACATGTTATGAGGTATTTAATTAATAATGACTTTTAGGGAATTTATAATTCATTAGGCTTATAGTAGAGACTTTTTGGTAGAAAATATAAATTGAAAATCTCAAAAGAAATCTCCCATCTATCAGCCTCTTCTCTTCTCTTTCACACTCTAGGGTTTTCTCTCTCTCTTCCAACCAGGTAAAAAAAAAAAAAATTGTTTGAATATTTGCTTTGAGTTTTTCTTTATTAACATGGTATATAATATTTGTGTAATTCTATTCGATTTTGAATTAGTTTGTAAGTGAGAATATGGCCTTGGTTTATAATTTCCCTTGATTTATAATTCTAGGTAGCAAGGTCGCTCTTTAAGATGATCATTCTGTTGCTAGGAGAATTTACATTAATTTAGTGTTAATTGTTTTGCTATATAGACTATATTTAGCATAATGTTTAGAAAATCATTGAAATTAGCATAAGTTAACAGCACTCTTTTGCTATGTATCTTTCTTTTTATTTGTTGGGTTTCACAAATGTTGTTACGTCTTCCTTAAATCAACACACTATTGTCTAATCCATGCTTTGAGTTTTTCTTTATTAACATGGTATATAATATTTGTGTAATTCTATTCGATTTTGAATTAGTTTGTAAGTGAGAATATGTCCTTGGTTTATAATTTCCCTTGATTTATAATTCTAGGTCGCAAGGTTGCTCTTGAAGATGATCATTCTGTTGCTAGGAGAATTTACATTAATTTAGTGTTAATTGTTTTGCTATATAGACTATATTTAGCATAATGTTTAGAAAATAATTGAAATTAGCATAAGTTAACAGCACTCTTTTGCTATGTATCTTTCTTTTTATTTGTTGGGTTTCACAAATGTTGTTACGTCTTCCTTAAATCAACACACTATTGTCTAATCCATCATACTTAAAACCTCAACGTAAAAATACGCAAATTTTACTGATGATAAAATCATTTATTACACCAAATTAGATCTATAAATAACTAGCATATACAATTTCAGTAGTACTGGAGTTAATTACATTTTTTTTTTTTTTTTGGCTATATCGAATAGCAAATAAAAAATTGGCAGCAATACTTAATTGGTTTTCTTGAATTGACCATTTATTTAATTCGGATTGGAAGCTTCTTTGTGTCAAGTAGTAATATAATTTAAAACACTTAACAATTTATACCGTATAAAAGTTAGTATGCATATATAAATGTCTCTGTGTGTAAACTGGGATTCCTGTTAGTATTTTCATAATTTCTTTTAGCCAATTTTGGCATTGCGGTGCTCTTTTTTGGGAAAAATGGTCGAATTTTTGTGTTGAGGAGTAAAGTCAGCCTTCAACTTTATTTGAAAGATAGAGTTGGTGAGTTGATGAGAATTTTTAATAATTGAGTTTCGATTTCTCTTCTAGTGTTGTACCAGAACCAGGAACATATAGCTAATAATCCAGAAGTAGAAATTTAGTAGCAGGAAAGGCAACATGTATTAAAAGTAAAATAGAGAGATGCTAATACTCCCATCACATTTTACAAAGTGCAGGAAAAGTTGTCCCTCTCCAAGTTGCTTGAAATAATGGCCAAAGGCAAATATGGATCACTGTTCTTCATAAATTGATGCTTTAGATTTGGTGCGATGAAGCACCATCTTTTCGATCGGATTGATTCCATTGCAGAAAATCAATGAACCAAGAGCCAACATGGAAAGACATTTTTTCACTTTTTGTCTCTTACCCGGGTTAGTACTTGCATTTCCAACCGTATGATGGGGATCAATACCTAGAAACTATTCAAGTACCTAGTCCTAAAGATGACTTCGAGTCCAAGAAATTCAAAAGCCGTAGAAAAGGATAAGTGAAACAAACCTAACTGCATTCAGTGACACCATATGATTATACCAAGAATAATTTTACTTTTCCCATTGTCGTTTTTATGTTAATTTTATTTGTAAACATTTTAGTCCATCTTTGTCATTCATAGTTTGTTTATATTTTAATATATTGCATGTACAATATGATAATAATATTAATGAAAGATTCAATGCAAGAAAATGACAAGGTTTAGGAAAGAGATATTAAAAAATATGAGAAATAGACGTGGGAAATAAGCTACTAAAACTCATGATTGATGCTGTCACTCGTGGTTGGCGTGATAGTAATGGCGCGTTGATGTAGAAAAACACATACTCCCCCATCCTAACAAAAAGCTTGGGATTGAAAAAACTTATGCCCAACATAAAAGTCGTGTGAAATGATTTAAAAAATAGTAAAGTATTCTAAGCTTATACGCCATAACTCTAGGTTTGGATGGGATTATTTGATGAAAAAATTCATTGCTAATGATGAAGTATGGGATGATTACTTTATCTTGAGCTTCTCTTGTTACTTGATTTTAAAAAAATATAAAATTTAAGCTATTGGTTAGTTATGTGTATGTTTCACTTAAAATTACTTTTTTCTTTAATAGTCTCATCCTGAAGAGAAAAGTTACCACATGGACACTTTTGCAAATTATGAAGATTTGAGAATTGTAGTTGGACATATAACAACTGTTGGCACACACTCAATTGCACTAGGGATGATACTGATGCAAGAACATTTTATAGTGGAGAAAGAAGAGTTAGTGAAGGTTTAATAAATGACTTCATGCATGATCTTGATACTGAAGTATCCATACCAATTGATAAACAGGATCCTATAAATTCAAAGGTTCTCCTATCAATTCGAAAACGAAGTAGAACCAAGTTTGAAGCAAAATCTAGTATGTTTGATCCCAAAAGGACTCAATCAGATGTTATAGACAAACTTGCTTGTACAGTTGATAAGATCACTCAAGCTATTGAATCAATTGACACTAGACAGCATAATTGTTGGTACATTATAAAGGAGATCCCAGACTTGGATGATAATGATCGTTTTAAGGTCCTTGATTTGCTTAATACTAAAGCAAAGAAGTCTGAGTTTTTGAACATGACATCAGAAGAACATTAAATGGATAATACTTGTGGTAGATATGATGGTCAAACCATGATCTATTTTACCAAAAAATAAATAAAGGAAAGTACAAGATTTTACCCTTACTTTAAAGTAAGTGATGGATAATATTTATTGTAATTTTTGTTTTTTGTTATCATTAGAATTCATATTATTTGTTTGTATTGTTTTATTATTTTAGAAGTATTGAAGCTATTGATGGTACTCATATTCCAGTAACGGTAACTGGACGCAATACAAGCAGTTATAAAAGTCATTATGGAACAATTTCACAGAATGTTTTGGCCACTTGTAACTTTGATTTAGAATGTATAACGTGCTTACTGGTTGGGAGGGATCATGATATGATTCTAAGGTGTTGAGTGATGCTTTAACGAGGAGAAATGGACTTAGCTCCACAAGGTATAGCTTTATTATTTTCAATTTTTTTTCTTTTATCTTGTTGTATAATAATTATACATGTTACAAGTCACTTACTAATTTTACAAGTATTTTATATTCAGGTAAATATTTTTGGGAGATTGTAGATTTTCAAATCGACGGCAATTCTTAACTCCTTTTCGAGATGTTTATTATTATATTCAAGATTTTGCTAGTCAAGATTGTGCCCCTAAAAATACAAAAGAAATGTTTAAATCTTAGTCATGCTTCCTTGAAGAACGTAGTTGAGATGATATTTGGTATATTTAAATCATGATTTACAATTTTCAAAATTAATCCTCCATTTCCATATTGTACACAAGTGGATATTGTATTAGATTATGTTGGATTACACAATTTGCAAAGAGTGTCATTTTGATAAAATTCTTATAGAATGTGACAATGGAGATTCTTCATCTTCTTCAGTTAATGATGGGAAAGATTTTGGACCATTTTTTTAGAATAAAAAACAAGAAAGAGATAATGCTAATGCATGGAAAGCTACTATAGCAGCTGATATGCGGAAAGATGTTTGAAATGTTTGATTTTTTTTTATTTTTTTTTTGAACATAACTAAAATACTATTACTTTTTTTGGCATTTTGATTATTTGTTAATCTATTTGATGTGACTTGGAAAAAAAATTAAAACTTTTTTGTTGACATGAAAAATATGATTTATTGCTTTGCATCTTTAATTATAAGAGTTATGAATGATTTGTACATACAAGAAGTTATTTAAAATATTAAATTATATTCTTAATATTTAAAAAAGAGTTATGAATGATTTGGACATACAAGAAGTTATTTAAAATATTAAATTATATGCTTAATATTTAAAAAAAAATAAAGTCTTTAAAAGCCTTTAAAATTCTCTAATGAAAATATCTAGAAGTCCATGGAAGTCTTTTATTAATTCTTACCAAATTTCAAAGTCACCCACTTAAAGAAAGTCAATAAAAGTTTTTAAAAGTCCCAATTGAATACACCCCAGAAGATTACTAACATAATATTAAAATTGAAAATTAAAAGCAAAAACTGGAAATCCAAGTCCATTTTGTTTCCAGAATTTAAAGTTTTTTAAAGATGTTACAACATAATCTTCTTTTGTACTTGTAAATCTAAGGCCAAAAGCCTCCATATGCCGCTGGGGTGGCTGGCGGTGTGCAACCTCTTCCAAGTTGCATGCTCCAACAAGCAAGCCATTTTTCAAGTATGTAAGAGAAGTAAAACACACAAGCATATGAGATTGTTGACAAGTAATATTGTAGTGAGTTACATGTAACATGCCACAAGGAATAACCATTAACTATAGTGTTCTAGTTATTATCAAATTCGACATATGTGACACAAAAATGTTTGTTTGTTGTAATTATCCTAAATTAAGTTACGAATTGTGTTAAAGTGTGTGTGTGTGTGTGTTTTTTTTAATCAGATTTTGAGATGAATGCATTGAATTTTAGATTTCACCTACTAGCATCTACTTTCAATTCTCGAAAAAGGGTTTTAGGCAACTACTTTCAACCTTCAAAAGCAAGTTGCGGTTTCTACAATTACTGTAATTATACAATCTTAAATTTATGTTTTCCCCTTTCTAACTTTTCCAATAGTACAACTAATAACAATTGCGGCTCAGTTGATTATTATTGATACAAAAGCGGTGTGAATGAACAATCAAGCGATAAGCATATTGAAAGTGGTGTGAAAAAACAAATACATCAAAGGCTTAGCCTCAGATTTACACACAATTGATTTTGATTGAAGTAGAGAAACCTACCAGAATAAGTTCTGATTCAATTCAGTTATTATTATTATTATTATTATTATTATTATTATTATTATTATTATTATTATTATTATTATTATTATTATTATTTTTTTTTTTTTTTTTTTTTAATGTGACCACCAGTGTTGTGTGTGAAGTGTTGGTAGTTATTTATGTATGATAGGTTTTAAGTTGATGGGAATAAATTTGGTTTTTCTTTTGGTTAAGTTGTGAATTTTCAGTAAGCCCCTGTTTGACCCCCATTCTCCTTCTCATTCTCATTCTTTTTCTTTTTCTTATTTTTAACCACACAATCTTCATAAAATAATATTATATGCAAATCAATAACTTTTCATTCTTTGTGAACCACATGTTTTTAAAAAAAAATACTATTTCAACCATTAAAATTTGACAAGAACGGGGGCCAAATGGGGGCTAATGTGTACGCATGATTACATACACAGAGAATGAGTATTTGATATTTCCCTTCACGAGTTACATAATTCTATAGTATTCAATTTTGGAGGGAGAGAGAGAATAATTATTTACTTGCTTTATTCAATTATCTAGTTCAAGGATTAGTATTTTGATTTAATTAAAAGAAGGTTTACACCCACCGGTGTAACTTTGATTTTGGAGAATACAATAGAGGATTTGGAGATTTGAAGCATCAAGTTCTTATCAAAAAAGATGGAAGCTCGTGATCTAAAACATTGAAAGTTTGTGATTTAGAATTAATTAAAGAATTGATCATTGAATTTTGGAAAAAAATCGAATCATTTATTCTTGAATTAACATACAAGTGAATATTTAGATGATCTTGTTTATTGAATTAAAGAATTTTTTTAAATTTTCAACAAAAATACCTGTTGGGTTTTTTGATACCCAATAATTCGGACGATGATTAAAATAGTTGTAGGATTATTTATCGACACCATGGATTTGGCTCGACTCGAAGACGAACTACACTTTTGGATGGCTTGAGTTTGGGTTAGATGATTATTTGGTTAGTTGGATCATTTAGTGATTAATATGGAGTTGGAAATTGGCCCATTAGTTTAGGTTATATGGCAGTCAATTTAGAGATCTCTTAGCTCATATTTGGTGACCTAAACTATATATATATATATATATATATATATCTCCCAGCCATTTTGATGTGTGTGTTGTAGCAATGGAGAGGAGAGTTGAGAGAAGAGAGGCAGCCGAGAGAGAGGGAAGCCATGTGAGATTGTGAGTGAAATTCAACCATTGTGATATCTTCATCTTTCTCTCCATACCTTTGTGGATTGCTAACACCACCTCCCTTTTCCTTTCTGGGGTTAGAGAGAAAGAGAACTAGGGCTGGGCAAATCTCCCGAACCAAATCGAACCGAACCCGATGGTTCTTGTCAAATTAAATACCCGAACGGATATCTGAATTGAGAACCGACGGGTACGGTTCGGTTATCAGTTCTAGACCTAAAACCGAAGAACCGAATAAGAACCGAATCTTTCTAATTTTTTTTATATTGAGTAAATCAAGTTATTTTAATTTTTTCTAAAAAAATTAATAAATTAACAATTTCTAAATCCAAAATTTTGGCCCAATAATTTGTTTCATTTCTAATTTTTTAATTTTTGGCCCAATTACCCATTTTATTGTTTCATTTCTTAGCCAAGCAAGATCAAATCCACTAAATAACCCTAAACACCAACACCAAAGTGCATAACGTTGTCTTGACTCTCGCACTCACTCTCGCAGCCTCGTTAATATTCCAAAACCTATACAATTATCGGTCGACACTATGACCTCCGATCGAAACCGTGACCTTCGCCAACCGAAGCTTTGATCGTAGCGATCATTTGAACAAGGTAGTTTACTAGTCTCTGACATTCCAAAACCATTGAATGTATCATTAGTTGTATTTATATAATGTTTTTATAAATGTTAAAAAATTTAATTATAGTACAGAACCGAACGGAACCGAACCCGAACGGTTCCATAATTATATTTGGACTCGACGGTTCCATTTACTAGATACCCGAAAAGTTCGGTTCGGTTCGGTTCGGTTCTTTTTAGAATCGAACCGAACCGACCCGCGCCCACCCCTAAAGAGAACAGTCCAAAGTGAAGGCGAAAGTTTTGGGTCAAGCCAAGGTAAATGGTGTTCGTTTGATTGTTTTCTGAGCCCGGAATCAAGATTTATCGAGGAATTTTCGCTACAAATGGTATTAGAGCTTGTGTTATTGATAAATCTGTGATTTTTGGAACTAAAATTGAACTGGAAGTGGCCCAAAATCGATCTGAAAAATAGGCAGAAAATTGGACAGAATTCTGGTAGATTTTTGTAAAAATTGGAGGGATCTGTTTTGGTGTTTTCTGACCAAACCAGTTGCGGTTTGGAGAAACGGACACCATCATTGGACTGTGCAGGTAGAGACGGTTCAAAAAGGTCGGGGAGTCGCCGACGCGACTGGCTCGTGAAGAATTCAGTATGGCGCATGCAGGCGCGTGGATGGCATTCCGACAATGGTATCTTCAAACAGAATATTTCTGGTGACAATACGGACCCTGCAGTGTTGTCGGATTTCAGTTTTAAGCAATATAGTGAAAGTTGGACAATTTTGCCCTTGGACGTTCAGGTGTCGGGTGCTATTTTCGTGTTACTGTGGTTGCTTGTGACTTTAGGATGAATAGTGATAATCTTGAAGTGGTGAATTTGCATCTCTCGATATGTACGGACCTTCAGACGTGGTCCGCTCAGTATCGCATTCTTTGCCTTTTATTATTGCAGTTAAAATTAATGTATATGTTAATTATTTATTTTGCGC